GAGTAACAGAAAAGTGAAATGTTCCAGGATGGCCTACAATAAGCAGGGTTTGATGAGAAGTATAGGACATTTAAAAAAAAAAAAAAAGAGGTCCATGAGGAAGCTGGACAGTGAAAGGAAAGAAGAAGAGAAGTTAAGAAATGGGGGGTTTAAAGAGATTAGTCTATTCTTTTAAGATTTTATTTGACAGAGAGAGATCACAAGTAGGCAGAGAGGCAGGCGGGGTGGGTGGGGAAGCAGGCTCCTCACTGAGCAGAGAGCCCAATGTGGGGCTCAATCCTAGGACCCTGAGATCATGACCTGAGCCGAAGGCAGAGGCTTAACCCACTGAGCCATCTAGGTGCCCTGAGATTAGTCTAATTCTTAAAAGAAGGAAAGATAGTTGAGATCCTAGTTAAATAGACCCCCATCTGTTTTTAAACAAAACTTAAAACTGGCTATTTTCTATGCTTAAAACACTTTCCTCCCTCACCAATGCCTGGATTTCTTTCAGTTTAACTTTCTATTTTAAAATGATTTTATATATTTGATGTATATGAAATATATAATTTTATGTATTTAAATGATTTTAAATATTTTATAACTACTTAGGCTCACAAAGACCTCTCCACTCTAAGGCTTCTTTCTGCATTTATAGATACATCGTTCGAATAAAGGTCTTCTATCCCAACCAGAGGATAAGCTGAAGTTGATTTTCCCACATCTTTGACTCTGGGCTGACCCTGTAACCAGCTCTGGCCAACAGAATGTGTTGGGAATGAGGGCTTGCCAGTTCCAAGGGTAGACCTCAACTCAAGCAATTTCCCCTTGTTCTCTTGGAACCTGCCAATATGTCAAGTGATCCAACCTGGGTCAGGCAGCTGGTGGATGAGAGATCACAGGGAGCAGAGAAGAGTCCGCCTAGCTAAGGCATCCTAGACCAGGCAGCCCCTAGCCAATCTAGCCCCTAGCCAATCTGACCTCAATGTATGACGACTGAGCCCACTGAAGCTCAGATTGCCAATCTGTAGAATCTCGAGTTAAATAAATGCTCCTTCTATTAAGGCAACACATTTTGGGGCACTCTGCTATGCAGCAAAGCATACTGAAATAATTGAAACATACACAATGCTCCATCCTTCCAATGTAATACTTAGGACAGTGTGACTTATATTAAAATTAAGTATTTGCTGGTCACCTCTTTGCTCCTGGGGGACAGAGACTGTATTATATTCATTTGTGGATTCCCACCGCACCTGGGTTGTGCTTTTGTTCACAGGAGGCACTCAGTGTGATAAAAGAAGTTGAAATGAAAATCAACTGAAGTTCAAATTCTATTGTTCATCAGCACTATGCACTTACTGCTTATCAACAAAAGAAAAACTCCAACCAGAGCATCGTTAAAGAATCAGATCACTACTGAGAATCTAGTATTGGCCTTGTGTTGCAATTCCAATTATGAAGCATTATGGGCTGGCAATTACTAGGACTTGTGGTGCACACACCACTTCAAAATCGTTAATAAGTGAGCCCTTTAAGGTGTCCTTGTCAAGATTTCACACTGACCCGAGTCTGGATTTTGATAGAAATCTGCACATACATTTGACATATGAATGTGAAGTCGTACTGCAAACCCACTTTTATGAACTTGGAAGTTTAGAAAGCTTAAAGTGGCAAAGGAGAATTTGATTTGTACTAATTCACATTATGATTAACAGCAGGTTTTCTACGCCTGGAATTCTGACAAACGAGAGAAGGACATTCATGTGCGTTAACCATGAGGCGCTTCGCACATGTGAAATATCATGAAAGCTTGTGTATTCAAAATGTCATTTCACTCTTCACCCTATGAATTAGGAAGCTGAGACTAGACGGGACAGGTGGGAAAGGATGAATAGTTTTGCCATCCATATCTGATTTGCTTCCTAATTGAATTTCTGTAGCTTTTAAATGACACTCTGCTATTATGAGATGATCTCTCATAGAGATGATCTCATCAAATATTCCATGTTTTGATTATTTTAACAGTTACCGTTCACTTGACAGTGTCTGAGACAGTCTCAAGTGAGAGGACAGGAGAGTACGCTCAGATTGAGGAAGCTCATAAGCCAGTGAGGCAGATACAGATGATGACAGTGAAAGAATATCCTTGCTGTCTTGAGACTGTGCGGTCCTCCATGGGCCTATACGCTGTAACCTGCCCTAACTTCCACTTCTTCCTCTAAATCCTGCCCTGCCTGTTTAATATTGTTACCACAGACTAATAAAGAACATGAAGATGAATCAGTTAATAAGTTGGAACACTGAATCAGGACCTAAAGAGGTTGGGCCCAGCTGGAATGATACAAATCTATGTTGTCAATAATATGAAAGAAAAATTAAATCAGCTATATAAGGACTGCATGAGGCCTGGGTAAGCATGCTACACAAAGGCCCAGTTACTAGCAGAGGACGCTTAGTGAATCAGGAGAGGAAGCCTGTCCCCCAAACTGGGATGCATGAATAAAAACATAAAGAATCAGAGGGTCAGAGTTAAGTGAAATTTCAGCCAACTTAAGAAATAGCTTCCTAATAATCAGATTGTCCTAAGGCGGCCTATGCTGCTTTGGGGAGGTGAGTTCTCTTCAAGGGGGATATGCGAGCATAGTCTGGGGTGCTGTACAGGGTTTCAGGTATCAAGCCAAAGGTTATACTGAATGATTTTCGAAACTGGCCCCCAACCCCAAAATTCCGTAACCCTATTACAGGATTCCAAAGGGAACATGCAAAAGGACAATATACTCAAGGACACTTAATCGTGCTTCACTCAAGGTCAACCTATCTCTTCTGGAGACACACTCCAAGGTCCTCTCCTTATGGTCTGAGTATCTCCACAGTTCAGAAGAGGTCTCCTTCTAAAAGGACGCTTGTATAAAATAAGTTATGGGAATGACTAAGAGGGACTGCAAAGAGATTAATATTTGCAGCCTGGGCTGTGGAGGGATCATTTTCTTCACAACGATTCAACCTATTGGGGCCCGCTGCTCCTGAGCCTCAGCCTGAGACCTGGGGAAGTTCTTCCAGATGACCTAGATTAGAAAAGTTTAAGCTGTTTTAACAGAGACGGCCGTAACTAGGAATCAGGTGATAGATTCAATAAGAAGAGGCATACTCTTCTTAGGAGTAAAATTTTGGAGCTCTGGTTTCTCCTGCTAAAATTTCATAAAAGGAACTCCGAGAACAGAAATGCAATGGCAAACAGGAACTTAAGGGTAAACAACAGCGCTCGCTGAGAGCTCACAAGAATTTGAGCATTCTTCCCCCGCTCAGATACATCCTATTTTGGCTGTGCTGTCGAACACACTCCCTTAGTTAACATTTTCTGCAAACGCTAGTCGCTTTCCATAGGGACCGAAACCACAAACTAGAGAGAGCGACCACGCTTCCCTCTCATGAATAGCGAGAAAGGAAAAATCTTTCCTTGGGTATGTCTCTCCAGTGAAATTCAGCGTCTGCTTTCCAAGAAAAGCCAATGGGCTCAGAAATTTCTGAGAAGAAACGGGAGAAAAGTGCAACAGACAACACTCCCCAAAACCCTAAAGCAAAAATCCCAATCTTTCAGCCTCACATCTGCCAAGGGCTTAAAACCTGTCTCTGTTGAGTGTCTGAATCCACAGGTGGAAGGTCTTAAGTGTGGAGAGAGATACTCAGCCTCATTTGTGACCATGCTGGGAAAGCCTTTATGTGTAGGAGAACCCCCACCTCAGGCCCCAAATATTAAGTTGACACACGTTTCTGGGACGCGGCCTGAATCCTCAAACTTTGGCGGGTCTATAGAGACACAATTTTCTGTTTTCTGCTTAACAGGGCTTTCCAGAATTGTCATCAGATGACAGATTACACCACCCATCCACAAGGATGCAGGGGTAGCTCCAGCCATCCATTATGGGTTAAAAGCTGTTCCAGCATGAATCGAGTCACAGTGGTAAGGAGACTACCAATACAAGGGGTCCTATAGCTTTAAGAAATACTCTGGGCATCTAAAAGTTTTCAGAATGCAAACTATGTCAGCTCTGAAAACAAGAGGCACTGCATCATTATGGCAGGAGAAACAAAGCCAGCCCCCTTTTTAAAACAGACAAAAAAAAAAAAAGATTGTTTTAATAGGAGAGAAGCATCAGTCATTGATTCTTACTTCATTCACACTTTCTATCCAACCCCATCCATCTTCAGAGTGAAGAGATGACAGAGCCCAGTTAACTCTCTCCCTCTTTCGGCCCCCGCCCATCCTGTTCCTCTCCACCCAAACCACCAAGGCCTACCAACCCACCCATTTCAATCTGCAAGCCACAGCCCTCCAGAACGACTCTTTCTATCTGCTGGGCTTGTGAAACTCGGGTATGGCCGAGTACCGGCTTTCATCCACGTTACTTTAACAGGGTTGCCCACCAGGTTAGCACGACCAGGTCGGGGCCTTTGCTAATCTAATCACCTTCTAAAACCACCACTTAGTCACTCATGGCTGAGCACATTCTACAAAGGAGGGGATGGGAAGACGGAAGGCAACAGGAAAGAGTCAACAAGCCAAACCAACAATCCACAACGTAAAATATTTCATTTTTCTTTAAATGCTGCCGCCGTCATTCTCTCTGCAGACAAAAGTGTCCTCCGGGCAGGCAGTCTCTGCATCGGTGCACCTGCTCAGCATTGGTTCGCCGAGTTATCTTTCTGCTGTGTCTGCAGAAGCCAACTAGAGCACAATGGGTCACATCACTTGAGGGTCACTTGAGTCCCTCTAGTCTCTGGGTCCCTCCTCCCACCTCCTGCCTTTCCTTCTACCCACAAAACCTTTAACTCCACCATAGCTAAGGATCCCAGATAGCTAAGTAAAGGAGGTGGCCTCAAACACAGGGAAAAACCCTTAGGTCTCCAGTGTGAATCGACAACGCCAATCCCCCTCCCCTCCCCTTTTCCTTAAGACCTGATGGTCTTCAGTCACACATCTTAAAAGAAAAACAAAAAACAAAAACACAAAGACTTACTTGTCTCAAGTCGATGAAGGCCAACTGCAGCGTGTCCTCCTGGAACCCAGGCACCGGGCCGGATCTGGCAAACTCTGTGGGAAAGAAAAGAGGATAAAAAGCGCCTTTAACTAACCATGGACAGGGAGATTGGCAGACGGATGACAGGGAAGACAAGAGAGGCTGGGGGAGAGGAGGACCAAGCTTCTAAGGAGTCATGTCTCTCTCCCTTCAGCTTCTTTGTTTGCCCTTCAAAATTCGTGTCATCAAAACACCATTAATTCCAGCATCCTGACAGCAAGGAAACTGTACTAATTCGACCTGAAATTTATTCCCATGAGCCGCGCTGGGCTTCAGAGTGTTTGTTTTGTGAATGGACAAACAACTTGCAAAGGAGGAGGGAGTGGGGGAGAGAAAAAAGTTTTTCCTCTCAACACAATAAAATCTTCAGCTGTGAAACTCTTTTCAGTTCCGAAAGCTATTTATATTTTAGATCGCTGAAGGAATTTTCTAATTTCACGCCTGTCACCTCATTCCCCAAGCATTTATCAAAAAATATTCCCTGCCACATCATTAATTATTCCCTCACTGATTATTTGTATTATCTCATGACTACATTATTGCCAACACACACACACACACACACTGCAGAAGCTGTCCCGATCTACTGCTTGGCTCTTGAGCAAAGGAGTATTTGTAGATATGAAAAGGCCCATCTAAATAAATTTCGCTGCAAAAGCTTAGGGAACATTTGCACATGTCCATCCTATAGTGTATTCTTTGTCCTTGACTTCTGCTTCTTTTCCACTCTCGAAAATTCTTTGTTCTTTTCCTGCTACCCCAGTTTAGTCTTAGGTCAAAGAGACCACATGAATGTTATTTGCAATTAACACTAGCGCCTTGGGTACAAGCTCAGTTTATGGCTCTGTCTTGTACATCGTTAACAAGAAGACAACTGCACAGGGCTATAGGGACAGACACTAGTAACAGTTAAGAATGTCAAGTTTTATCGTCCCTAAGCCCAGCTTATTATGAAATCAAAAGGTCTCGTTTAAGCTCCCTACACATACGCGTGCATGCACACACACACACACCATGCAGAGAGAGAGAGAGATAATTCAAGAGTCGGATAGTTACTATGTCTTGAATTCTGTCTGTAAAGCCAAAGTGCGATAGACATTTACTATCAATCTACTATTTACCTCAAAAACAACTCGAGTATTGGCTCAAAGCAAATATGAAAAGGAACATTTTCCTTTCAATTATGTTCTTTCTCCGGGAATATAAGAAATTATACAGACTCGTATCATACTTTTCTTCTGAAATTAAATAAACTCCATCAAGATATTTGCATAAATGCCTGGAAAACTACTTGCAACATCCAGTAGTTGGATAGATTTAAATGATGATTTGTGAACAATTATAGGAATTCCTGTTTGGTTTTTTTTTTAAGTATTTTCCATCTGGGGCTTCTTAGACATAATAGGTTTTCATAACATCCTTGTCCCACTTAAAAAGAATAATGCTAGCAAGTTAAGTTGCAGGGATTATGGAAACATCATGTGAAATACAATTTAATGCAATTTATTAAGCTAACATATAGCACAGATGTATTCCACCACTGCACACAAAATATTCTTATTTTAGACATTTCAACAAAAATGACTCTTGTAAGTGGAAGGAGAGAAATTGTATTTAGCATGATTAGCAGCACTAGGTTTCTATTCGCATTGAAAAGAAAATTCAAGTACCATTTGTAAGTTAATTCTATCATATTACAGCCCAAATGACTCAAGTTTTAAAAGCATAAAATCCTACAACCGTACAAATACTTGATGAGGGCCATGTTAATAGAATGCCTGGCCTCCTCTGTCCTTCCTATCTTACAGTAGCCATTATGTGTGCTAACCTTGTAGATAGTGGCTGCTCAAGTCAGACATACAATTTTCCCATATTCTGCTCTTACAGAAAGCAGTTCTTTGAATTATAGCCACAGTCACTCTCTTTGACAGCCCTGATCATCAGTGGTCAGCTTAAATAAGCTTCCCAGGCCTGCTGGTTTCATCCAAGGTCGGTAGCTCTCCCCCACTGCTCCTGCAAGAGTTGAGGCTTTGTTGAATCATTTGAGGTACTGAAGTCCTCTCTGTCGGTGGGAACCTTTCTTCAGTCAAAGGCAGCCACGATCAGGGTGTTCTGCTTACCTACACATGTCCGACTCAGCAGAACTACCCTGGGATACGAGGTTCGAATGCTTGAGAGCTGGCTACCCATTCTCACATCTGCATCTTGAGCATGAGCCCTGGGGCCCTGGGATGGCGCTGCCGAAGCCACACAGGAATCCAGATGTGACACGTTAGTTCTCACAGTCTGACTTTATAGGCCGCATTTTTATGACACACTGAATCTTCCAGTTTCCCAGAGGACAGGGTGGCCTTTTAGATTTGATTCTCCTTTTATAAACCAAAAGGAATCCAAGAGTGACAACTGCATCAAGGTATGGCAAAGTAGAGATTGATTTCACATACAGTTTACGGAAATGTCTAATTACTGTATATTTGACTTTATGTTTGTATTTTTACCTCATTGTTTTGTGCATCTAATTCTTGTCTTCTCATTAGATAAGGAAACTCCTTAAGGATAAGGACTAAACTGCTGAACCTAACAAATATTTAAAATAGTAGATGCTCAACAGATATTCATTTATTCATTAGATAAGTTACAAAAACAGCAAGATTTGTTAATCACACATATTCTTCACTACCAACGAAAGTCTGAGGATTGCAACAGGTAATGTGTCCTTAACATGAGTATCAAAAAGCAGGATTTAGGAATTTATGAGTTCCTTAAAACCAGATGCACGATGATTGAGGGGCTGGGTTTTGAAGTCATACTAGCAGAGTTTGAGCCCAAGATACGGGGTCTATGGGAATGGGCAAATTACTTAATCTCCTTAAAGCTTCAATGGCTTTTTCTCAAAAATGAAGAAAAGAGTACATTCCTTATGGTGCTACTATGAGGATTAAATGAAATAACACATACAAAGCAGTTGGCAAAGTGCCTGGCATATCATAATTGATTATCATTACAATTAGTTTTTTGTGTGAATATACAGTTCTCTGGGAAGAAGTTTCAGAGCCTTTACTGAATTCTCAGAGGGCTGGTGAGCCAACAAAAGTTAAAGAAATGCTGTTCTTGGGGCGCCTGGGTGGCTCAGTGGGTTAAGCCTCTGCCTTGGGCTCAGGTCATGATCCCACGGTCCTGGGATCGAGCCCCACATCAGGCTCTCTGCTCAGCAGGGAGCCTGCTTCCTCCTCTCTCTGCTTGCCTCTCTGCCTACTTGTGATCTGTCAAATAAGCAAATAAAATCTTAAAAAAAAATTTTAAAGGATTGTAAAAGTTATAGAAAAGAAGGTATATTGTTAAGTGAAGGCACAAGTGGGGAAAGAAAACCCCACAAAAAAAAAGTATTTTGCTTAACAAATAGTCAACATTCCTTCACATTCTTACATACACTTAAGTCTATGAGATCTGGCAATCATTTTTTAAAACAATATTAATTTCTCAAAAATATCCAGTAGGTTTACATTCCTAATAATCTTCATATTATAGTGATATAAAATTACCAAAAGAGAAAAAGAAGGTATTCCATTAATTTCAAAATGCTTTCTAGACTTCTTGAAAGCTGATCTTAAAATTAAATAACACTATCACTTAGAGGGGAAAGGAAAAAAAATTAAATAAACTTTAAAATTATCTGGTACATTCACATTTGGCTGAAGAAAAAAAACATAAACACCATAAAACCTTAATTAGAATAAAATGGTAGAGTCAGATTAGAAGGGGTTTTGAGAAGTCAAAATAACTGTCTTAGTCTATAATCTGTGTATCTAGATAGGACATCTGGGAGTTTATCAAGAGTAAGTTGTGAGAAACAGAAAATAAAACCAGTTCTTCAGAACTGACCAAAGGGGAACAATCATGTTCTTAAGGGTATACGGAGTCACAAAATGACAAACCTGCTTTATGCAAATTGTCCATGGGGCAAGAACAATTTTCAAAAGAAGAAGAGCAACAAGATAAAATTTCTTTCTTTTTTTTTTTTAAAGATTTTATTTATTTATTTGACAGAGATCACAAGTAGGCAGAGAGGCAGGCAGAGAGAGAGAGAGAGGGAAGCAGGCTCCCTGCTGAGCAGAGAGCCTGATGTAGGGCTCGATCCCAGGACCCTGAAATCATGACCTGAGCCGAAGGCAGAGGCTTTAACCCACTGAGCCACCCAGGCACTCCAATAAAATTTATTTCTGAAAAGCAAACTAGCACAATATCTGACAAATAGGTAAAACAGCAATTGTTGGAGGAAACCACAGTTGGTTTAAATAAGAGGAAGCTGTGAAGACAGTGGGCAAAACGGTAACCAGAGGGTTCCTGGATATGTCATTTACTTTGGCTCCCAGCGACTGTCCAGGTCAGACACACAGTGAAGATTGCCATCACCAGCCCCCATGAGAGGGATTCAAGGTTTGGTTCTGGCCAAAATGCCAGGTGAGAAAGAAAACTCCGTACCTAGGAGCCCAAAGTACGTTGGCTACTTGTTTATACCTTAGGATCATGTCAGGTTTTTGTGGGATCGAAAAAGTAAGAGCCGCTGTTGCTGTATTCACATAATGGTTTCCTGGTATCTGGCTCCCTGGGGCCGCAGGTGAGGGGTGTGCCAGACTTGGAAGCGTGGCTCTGGGGAAGCTAACCCCTCTTGCATCACTTCTCCACGGCTCCACTAAGCTAATTACAGAGAGATGCTGAAAGACTCCCCAGGGAATCCACTCAGGGCCCTGCTGGTCAGAGGAAGGTCGGCCAGAACCTAAGGAAGTACGACGGAAGGAGCTAGACAGCCAGGACACAGGAAAAGGGGTTTGGGGTGGGGGACACTTTGCAGATGCCACTGACTCTATGGGTCTAAGTGTGTTTGCATGGACACATGATCATAACAACCACACAGCTTTATTTAGCCAGGGGAGGACTCTGGCTGCACATTATTCCCTGCTTTTACACACCTTAAGTATAAAACTCACCACATCTCCAACCCCAAGAAGGGCAG